AATAGAGATTTTTTCTTTCAACCATATTTTGATTGCTAATACGATAAATAAAGATAACAACGCCAACGAAAACTAGTAAAACTCCCTTAATCTTGACCGATCGATTGCTTTTTGAACCCTGCAAATTAGGTGAAAGTACAAGACTCCAAATTTGTGGGTCAAACAGTTTTAAAAACCGTTCTTGGGAGACTAAAATATGAATGGAAGATCCGATTGAATTCAATTGGGTCCATGAATCTAAAAAATATTTTGATTTTTTAATCTCTCTCAGTATCTCTCGTAATTCTAGAATCCAGAACTTGTTTTGCTTAGGTTCCATCTCATACCTCCATAAGATTTTATGCAAAAATTTTAAGTACTTGTTTTATATAATTGACTATTGACTATTTAATGTAAAAATAGAAATGATAAATAGAGTCTTTGTTTAGTATTTCAGATTTCCGAAATTCTTTATTTAAACGACATTTTTTTATGTAATATTTTTTGCTGTAATTCGATATTGAATATTAGATTCTCTATTCCTATCATATCCTATCATATAAAATAAAATATCATTTTTTTTTATTTGCAATTCCAAGATTCATAATTACCATAATTATTATATTTTAATTTTCAATTTTTATAGATGATGGTCTCGTTTAAGCATCCATAGCTAAGTGGTTAAAGCGCCCAACTCATAATTGGCGAAGTCGTAGGTTCAATTCCTACTGGATGCACACTATTAGCACTATTAGTTATTTACACAAAATCTCATTGACCCTCCAATTCTTCTTTTTATGATATTTTTGTTATATTTTAGGATATATATTAGCATAGATCTACTTTGAGCATTTCCTTCATAATCCATATTAAATATCATATAAGATATATGCTCCTAGATAGATTTGTCCATATCAAATATCATAGAAGATATATGTTCCTAGATAGATTTCATGTTGACTATTTCCATTTCATATATCATAATAGATAATTCTAGGATACCGATACATATAGAGAATCTATCTCTATATTAGAGATATAGATAGATTCTATCAACACTCAAAATTAACATTTTTATTTCAACTTAAAATAATACGGAATGAATTAAAATTCGGGATGGAATAAAAGATATAATATTAAAAAAAAGAATTTAGTTATTAAAAAATAATAAATAGACTTTTTTTGAAATCCACGTCATAAACTTTGAGTAGTGCTACGCTTCTGGCAAAGGGTCACATAATGGTAGGCCCTCCCTATTAGAGGACATATAATGCAATGGCTACCGCAGATCATTAGACATTGGCTTACACCTCCAAACAAATAAACTTTAAATCCAAAATAAAAATCATTTATATCATGGGAATACAATTATACAAAACTTATAACCCGAGCGAAACCGTAAACAGCCCAAAATTTGCTCGAAGAAAAAATTTGCTCTCTGGAAAGCATCATTGTGGTAAAGGTCGTAATGCTAGAGGAATCATTACAGCAAGGCATAGGGGGGGGGGTCATAAGCGCCTATACCGTAAAATAGACTTTCGACGGAATGAAAAAGACCTATATGGTAGAATCATAACCATAGAATATGACCCTAATAGAAATGCAAACATTTGTCTAATACATTATAAGACTGGTGAGAAGAAGTATATTTTACATCCGAGAGGGGCTCAAATTGGAGATACCATTGTTTCTGGTACAAATGTTTCAATCAAAATTGGAAATGCCCTACCTTTGACCGAAATCCCCTTAGGCACGACTATACATAACCTAGAAATTACACGTGGAAGGGGTGGACAATTAGCTCGAGCAGCGGGTGCAATGGCGAAACTGATTGCAAAAGAGGGTAAATCAGCTACATTAAAATTACCTTCTGGCGAGGTCCGTTTTATATCCCAAAACTGCTCCGCAACAATAGGACAAGTCGGGAATGTTGGGTTCAACCAAAAAAATTTGGGTAGAGCTGGAGCTAAACGATGGCTAGGTAAGCGTCCTGTAGTCAGAGGAGTAGTTATGAACCCCGTAGACCATCCACACGGGGGCGGTGAGGGTAGAGCTCCTATTGGGAGAAAAAAACCTACAACCCCTTGGGGTTATCCCGCACTTGGAAGAAAAACTAGAAAGAGGAATAAATATAGTGAGAAGCTCATTCTTCGTCACCGCAGTTAATATAATAGTATAATATAGTTAATAGAGTGAATATACTTAATGTAATATATATAGTATAAAAATTAATATAATAGAACAAATTAAATTTATTCATTCAATTATATGAAAAATAAAAAAATAAAAGAATAATAAAATTTATAGGAGTAAACTGTGGCACGTTCACTAAAAAAAAATCCCTTTGTAGCTCATAAATTATTAAAAAAAATTGAGAAACTTAACACAAAGGGAGAAAAAGAAATAATAATAACTTGGTCCCGGGGATCTACTATTATTCCAATAATGATTGGTCATACTATTGCCATTCATAATGGGAAAGAGCATCTCCCTATTTATATAATGGATGATATGGTCGGACACAAATTGGGAGAATTTGCAACTACTTTAAATTTTCGAGGACATGCAAAAAATGATAAGAAATCTCATCGGTAATGTGAATACTAAAAAATATTTTGATGCTTATAAGTCATTAGTAGGAGGCAAATTTTATGTACCAGATGCTAAATAAAAAAACCCCAGAAGTATACGTTTTAGGTCGACGTATAGCTATGTCGGCTAATAAAGCACGAAGAGTTATTGACCAAATTCGTGGGCGTTCCTATGAGGAAACACTTATTATATTAGAACTCATGCCCTATCGTGCCAGTTATCAAATTTTAAAATTGGTTTATTCAGCCGCATCAAATGCTAGTTACACTATGGCTTCAAATAAAGCAAATTTAGTTATTAGTCAAGCTGAAGTTAATGAGGGGACTGCTGGAAAGAAATTAAAACCTCGGGCTCGCGGGCGTAGTTATCCAATAAAAAGACCGACCTGCCATATCACTATTGTACTAAAAGATATTTCATTCAATGATTCTGAATCCGTGGAGCTCGGTTTGCTAAAAAAACCACAAGCGAAAAAAAATTCTAGAACTAAAGCATATTCTGATATCCAGAAAAGGAGGTATTTATGGGACAAAAAATAAATCCACTTGGTTTCAGACTTGGTACAAACCAGGCCCATTATTCACTTTGGTTTTCGCAACCAAAAACGTATGCTGAAAATCTGCAAGAAGATCAAAAGATAAGAGCTTTTATAAAAAATTATGTACAAAAAAATAGAATCAAACCCTCGGGTACCGAGGGAATTGCAGGTATATGTATTAAAAAAAGACTCGATCTAATCCAAGTCATAATCTATATTGGATTTCCCAAAGTATTCATTGAAAATAGCCCGCAGGGAGTTGAAGAATTACAAAAAGCTCTACAAAAAAAATTAAATTTCGTAAACCGAAAACTTAATATTGCTATCACAAAAATTGAAAAACCGTATGGAAATCCTAATATTCTTGCCGAATTTATAGCTGGACAATTAAAGAATAGAGTTTCCTTTCGAAAAGCAATGAAAAAAGCTATTGAATTAGCTGAACAAGCAGATACAAAAGGAATTCAAGTACAAATTGCGGGACGCCTTGACGGAAAGGAAATTGCACGTGTGGAATGGATAAGAGAAGGAAGAATTCCCCGCCAAACTATTCAAGCTAAAATTGATTATTGTTGTTATTCAGTTCGAACTATCTACGGGGTTTTAGGCATAAAAATTTGGATATTTTTTGATCAAGCTCAATAAAATTTTATTCATTCTTTTTACCTGTAATACCGAGCGGCCATTTCACAAATTATTTTGTGTAATGAGCAGGAACAGTTCTAATTGATAATAATGAATTCTATAAGGTTGAATAAAAATTTTATTTATTTTTAATAAAAATATCATTGCTATGCTTAGTGTGCGACTCGTTTATTTTTTAAGGTTAGCATGAAACCAAACCCAAAGTAACAACTACTAACTCGAGAAGAAATTACCTAATAATTAACTCATCAATTTCGCATTATCTGGATCTAAATAACCAGTCACGATATGATTACCGCTCATATCGTTGTAGCAACTGCCATTTATTTGCATAAACGAAAAATAGTATTCAAATATTATTGAAGTTGCGAAGCAAAATATAAAAAAGATGTGGATAATTGGAAGGGAGAGAGAAAGGGAGAAAAAGAAGCTCAATGATTGAAAATTCCAATATGTAGGGTCTAACAAAACAGGCAATGTAATGAAGCATTAATACTTAAATTCTGCATATTAAAGTATTTAAAATAGAATAAGAAATCTAAGAATATTCAATAATAAAAAACAATATACTCTTATTATAGAAATCTATAATCTATATATAAATATTCAATTAGATATTAAATATAGAAGAGATAAAATAAAAAAATAAAGTCAAGAGCTTAAAGCCAATAAAGACTAAGAAAAATGGCTAAAGACTTAAATTATTCATATATTATTACTATTTGAGCTCCATTGTAAAATTAGGACCTAACCATTAAGTAAGAAGTGATGGGGACGACGGAACTTATGAGAATACAAAAGATTCAATTCAATTCAAGATGAAATAAAAAAAAATCTTAAACATTCACTGGCTGGGATGGCGGAATAAACCAATGTTAAATTATTTTATTTCTAGATACTAGCTATAAGATGTCACAAACTCGTCCTAGAAATGAAATCTAAATTGACAGAGTCAATATTCGCCCGCGAAAACTTTTTTCAAAAGAATCAATATTCAATCTAAAGCAATATAAAGAATAGTCAAAAATGAAGGATTAGTTAGACTCAGAGAATCATGAAAAAACTGTAGAATAATTCATTTCAATTCAAATAGATTTAAAAAAAGATCACTCAATCCCTAAATATTATTTTGACTTCTCAGTCCAGACTTTTATTATCTATCTTTAGATTTAGATATCTTCACTATGATTAGTCAATTTGAGTCAAACGCTCATTTTGTAAATACTTTATTCGTAATTCGCGAGGAGCTGGATGAGAAGAAACTCTCACATCCGGTTCTGTAGTAGAGATGGAATAAATAAAAATCCATCAACTATAACCCCAAAAGAACCAGATTCCGTAAACAACATAGAGGAAGAATGAAGGGAATAGCTTCTCGAGGGAATCATATTTGTTTCGGTAAATATGCGCTTCAAGCACTTGAACCCGCTTGGATCACATCTAGACAAATAGAAGCTGGGCGACGGGCTATGACACGAAATGCACGTCGTGGAGGAAAAATATGGGTACGTATATTTCCCGATAAACCAGTTACTGTACGACCCGCAGAAACACGTATGGGTTCAGGAAAAGGATCCCCTGAATATTGGGTTGCTGTTGTTAAACCCGGTCGGATACTTTTTGAAATGGGTGGAGAGTAACAAAAAATATTGCCAGAAAAGCTATTTCAATAGCAGCATCAAAAATGCCGATACAAACTCAATTCATTATTTCGGAGATAGAATAGACGATATAACTCTAGAACCAACCCAAAGAATCTTAAGAATGAAACAAAAACAAAAAAAAAAGAGGTTTCGTTTTATGTTTGTGGACAAAAAATATTTCTTTTTTTCTTCGCCCTTTGCATTGTGAAAGAAAAGAATAAAAAAAATGCTATGATTCAATCCCAAACCCTTTTAAATGTAGCGGATAACAGCGGGGCTCGAAAATTGATGTGTATTCGAATAATAGGAGCTAGCAATCGTCGATATGCTTATATTGGTGACATTATTGTTGCTGTTATCAAAGAAGCTGTACCTAACATGCCTCTACAAAGATCTGAAGTAGTTAGAGCCGTAATCGTGCGTACCTCTAAAGAACTAAAACGTGGCAACGGGATAATAATACGATATGATGATAATGCCGCAGTTGTTATTGATAAAGAAGGAAATCCAAAAGGGACCAGAATTTTTGGTCCAATCCCCCGGGAGTTAAGACAATTAAATTTTACTAAAATCGTTTCATTAGCTCCTGAGGTATTATAAAAAAAATTAAAAAATGGAGTAGAATCTGTCTCACGTATATAACTTTAAGATTAAAATAAAGTAAGATAAACACAATAATCCATAGACAATAAAAAAAACACGTTGAGAGTAGAAAAATTTTTAGCTCCATAATTAGAGTTCATCATGGGTAGGGACACTATTGCTGAGATAATAACTTCTATACGGAATACTCATAGGGATGGAAAAAGAACAGTTCGAATCCCATCCAGTAATATTAACGAAAAGATTGTAAAACTCCTTTTAAAAGAAGGTTTTATTGAAAGTGTGAGAAATCATCGAGAAAACAACAAAAATTTTTTAGTTTTAACTCTGCAACATATAAACACTAAAAAAAGGACCTTTAGCAATATTCTAAATTTAAAACGGATAAGTCGACCCGGTCTACGAATGTATTCTAAGTCTAAAAAAATACCTAAAATTTTAGGCGGGATGGGGGTTGTAATTCTTTCTACTTCACGTGGTATAATGACAGACCGAGAAGCCCGACTGCAAAGAATCGGGGGGGAGATTTTGTTTTATATATGGTAATATTTTCAAGATGCCAATTAGGTAGAAACTTTCCATTTCTATGATTCCCAAATGGGATATTTTAGAATCTAATGAAATCCCCATTCCTTATTGCTTCTAGGTCACTGAAATAAAGAATAAAGTCCTTCGGATGAAAGAACAAAAATCACTTTCCTTTTTTCAAGAATTTTTTTATTAAGGAATCCTTTTCAAATAGTATGTTCTGGTTTTCTTTTTTATTGATTTAGATAATCAACTAATAAAGTAATAAAGATTGGATTATAAGTTCTTTTTGTGAAAATAGGCTAAATTCATTTTTAGTTTAGACGGATAACTTCAGAACAAGTCGATGAAGCTTTTGCAACACAACAATGATTCAAAGGAGTCATTTTTAAACTTAGCTATCTCTTTGGCAAAAATAACAAAATTAGAAATTGAAAATAAAAAAAAAAATGAATGTTTTTATTATAATCTTCCAATCAAACCGAAACTCTAAAGTAAATTTAAAAGAAATGTAAGGAGTCTGAATATGAAAATAAGAGCTTCTGTTCGTAAAATTTGTGACAGATGTCGATTAATACGGAGAAGGGGACGACTTATAGTAATTTGTTCCAATCCCAGACATAAACAACGACAGGGATAATAAGACTTCGCAACTTAACTTAGTAACTAAACCAATTATAGAAATGAAAGAATCGTGAAATGGATATATCCATATAGTATATCGCTGACTCAGATTTACAAAATGCTTAATGGTAAAATATATATCGAGAATTAGTTCGCGTAGGAAGGGGGGACGTATTGGTTCACGTCAGAATGCACGTAGAATACCAAAAGGAGTAATTCATGTTCAAGCCAGTTTCCATAATACCATAGTGACTGTTACAGATGTACAGGGACGGGTAGTTTCTTGGTCCTCTGCCGGTACTTCTGGATTCAAAGGAACCAGAAGAGGAACACCTTTCGCTGCTCAAACCGCGGTAATAAATGCTCTTCGTAAAGTAGTGAATCGAGGTATGCTACGAGCCGAAGTATTTATAAAAGGTCCCGGTCTCGGAAGAGATGCAGTATTACGAGCTATTCATAGAAGCGGTATATTATTAACTTTTATAAGGGATGTAACCCCTATGCCACACAATGGCTGTAGACCCCCCAAAAAACGACGTGTGTAGAAATCAAAAGTGAACCTATATCAAGAGAAATAGAAGATTCACTAATATACTAAATCAAAATTTTTATGGTTCGAGAGAAAGTAGCAGTATCTACTCGGACACTACAGTGGAAATGTGTTGAATCAAGAATAGACAGTAAACGCCTTTTTTATGGCCGCTTTATTCTATCTCCACTTATAAAAGGTCAAGCCGATACAATAGGAATTGCGATGCGAAGAGCTTTGCTGGGAGAAATAGAAGGGACATGTATCACACGTGTAAAATCTGAGAAAGCCTCGCATGAGTATTCTACCATAGGGGGGATTCAAGAATCGGTACATGAGATTTTAATGAATTTGAAAGAAATTGTATTGAGGAGCAATCTATATGAAAGTTGTGATGCGTCTATTTGTATCAAGGGACCTCGACATGTAACTGCCCAAGATATAATATTACCCCCCCATGTACAAATTGTTGATAACACACAACATATAGCTTGGTTGACGGAACCTATTGATTTTTTTATTGGATTAAAAATAGAGAGAAATCGCGGATATTTCAACAAAGTGGACCTTCACTTTGACGATGGAAGTTATCCTATAGATGCTCTCTTCATGCCGGTTCAAAATGCAAATCATAGTATTCATTCTTATGGGAATGAAAAACAAGAGATACTTTTTTTGGAAATATGGACAAATGGAAGTTTAACACCAAAAGAAGCACTTCATGAATCCGCCCGAATATTGATTGATTTCTTTATTCCTTTTTTCCAGATGGAAGAAGAAAACTTATATTTAGCAGATGCAAAACACACAATTCCCCTACCCCCCCTTATCTTTTATAATAAAGTGACTACACTTATAAAAAAAAAAAAGAAACTTTCATTGAAATTAATTTTTATTGACCAATTAGAATTCCCTCCCAAGATATATAATTGCTTGAAAAAGTCAAATATATTTACATTATTTGATCTTTTTAATCAAAAACAAGAAGATCTTTTAAAAATAGAACATTTTCAACTAGAAGATATAAAACATATATTGGGGATTCTAGGAAAATATTTTGCACTGTATTGATTATAAACTTAGGTTTAATTAATAAAAAAAATAAATTGAAACATTCATGAATATGAATTGACGTGTATCTAGGAAGAACTTTCAAGAAACGCTTCCCTAGATACACAAGCTTTGGTTTTTTTTAAATTGAATCAAAACTCCACAAAACAAATTTAAAAAAGACCTAAAGTGAGGGATTTTTCAATAGGTAATGTTGCACCAATGCCCAACCAAAAGGTAACTCCGGTACCAATAAAAAACACAGTGGTTGCTACTGGACGACGAAATGGGTTTTGGAATTTATTAACATTCTCTAAAAAAGGTACTGTTAATAATCCCGTAGGTACTGAAAGCATTAAAAGAACACCTAATATTTTATTAGGCACTGTACGAAGTATTTGAAATACAGGAAAGAAATACCATTCAGGTAATATTTCTAACGGGGTTGCAAAGGGATTTGCGGGTTCACCAATCATTGAGGGTTCTAGAACTGCTAAACCTACATTACATGCAATAGTACCAAGAATAACTACTGGAAAAATATATAAAAGATCATTGGGCCATGCGGGTTCCCCGTAATAATTATGACCCATACCTTTTGCCAATTTAGCTCTTAATACAGGATCATTCAAGTCAGGTTTTTTTATTATTGGGATAGGTGAAGTCTTAGAGATCCATCCCCCGAGGGAACCGGACATGATCATTTTTAATCATCCAGCTCGAGCAAGACTCAAACAAATAATTAAAAAAGAATTAATCATTATATGAATGAACAAATACATTTCTAAAGCTAGGTAGTTTATAGGTTATCTTAGAGTCGTTAAGAGTCTTTATATTCATTTATACACAAAAGATAATCTATGATATAGAAATAGTTCAATGTAAAAGAAAAAATTTGTTTTTATCAAGTGAACCTTCTCTAGTCAAAAAATTAAATTTCTTTTCTTATTTGCTTACGCGTCAATACTCAAGACCCAAGTAGGCTTAATTTTCTGATAGGATCAAGTGCTTTTTGGGTCGTCTCCAACCTTAGAATGCGTATTTATCTGAAACTATTTTCAAAAAGTTTTCATATTTTAAGATACGCAGAAAGGTTTACTTGTTACTAAAAAAAAGTCCAGTTTCTTTTCTTCGTTAGATCTCTTGTTTCACTCCGATAGTATTATCGAGATCGGACCAATGGAGAGGAAATGACTCCATTTACAGATTCTATATTAGCGTTTAAAATGTTAAATAAAAATAAAAAGTTTCTAGGATCTTTTTATATTCAATATTGGATTTTACGGAGCCTAATCATGTATAACATGATTTTTATATGATCATAGAATAAATTATCTTCAAGGGAACCAGCTTATCCCTCACATAAGGCTTATGCGCCAATTGGAACAAAGACACATTTGGGTGGTGATAATTCAAATGTGGTAGGCTTATATCTACATGGACCAATCAATAGTTCAGGTCGCACACTCCCATAATCCATTTTATCGTAAAATTGATCTTCAACTTCAAAGAATTCCCCTCGCCTATTTGTGTATTCATGTAAAAAAAAAAGAATATAGGAAGGGTGAAGATAAATATAAAAAACCATTTCTTATTCTTTTAAAGAATGGATTTTTTTTAGCAATGAAATACTATTACCCCTCCTCCAAGTGAGAAATAACATATCTTACAAATTTTTTTTATTTAGGATCTCTTTTTATTTCTATTTTGATTTATAAAGGACCAGAAATACCCTGTTTACGTATCATTGAAAAGTGCATTAACATAAATACGGCAGTAATAAGAGGCAAGACAAAAGTGTGTAAACTATAAAAACGAGTCAAGGTGGATTGCCCCACACTAGCGCTTCCTCGTAAAAATTCTACCAAAGGTGATCCTATTACAGGAATAGCTTCGGGTACACCTGTTACAATTTTCACTGCCCAATAACCTATTTGGTCCCGAGGTAACGAATAACCGGTTACGCCAAAAGATGTTGTCAATACAGCTAAAATTACACCTGTAACCCAAGTCAATTCACGAGGTTTTTTAAACCCACCTGTCAGATACACACGAAATACATGCAGAATCATCATCAATACCATCATACTTGCTGACCATCGATGAACCGATCGGATTAACCAACCAAAGTTCGCTTCAGTCATTATGTATTGAACAGAAGCAAA